AATAGCATGGATTCAAACATAACATTTAAAAAAGAACTTTCATAATATCGCATATTTAAACCTCATTGTAAAATTAAGAAAATTACCTAAATATTCAGAGTAGGTTTGGAGCCTAAGCAGAGCACTCTTTCAAGATACTTTATTACGTTTACTTTCCTTGTGTTTATAAGGGAAAGAACAGGATTATTGAAAAGTATAGGATGAGTTTATCCTCTAGGTGTGGCTTATATTGCAATTGGACCCTTCCCTGGGAACATCTTCGTAATTAGGAAAAGAAAATGTGCTTTTCGGGCTCAAAAATATACGCTTGCAGATGTCATCACTCGTATAAATTTCTAGTATATATTTTAAAACAGTTCCTGGTTTACAATGATACGATACTATGACAATATGCTACAAGGTGAGATGCAGATATGACCTAAAGTTTTATAAGGTGGCTATTGGTGCATTCGTTCCTTCATACTTGATTTAAGAAATTATCATATAAAACATTCTAAATTTTTCTTCTTTTGCTATACTCCCGCATAATTACTATATTACATTGAAATTGTATCGAATGGCAGATAACATAGCGTGTCATAAGAAAAACGTAACACACATAAATTTCGTCTAACTGCATGTCTATAATTTATTTCCCCCAAGAAGATTGCTAGTTGGCAAGATAACTGCAAACTTTACTGTTTAGCAAAAATGCATATAATAGCATTATAGAGCTTTATATTATTGATTTCAAAGTAACAATATATTCATGTATAAAGGGATGAAAGATTACGTAATCTTTAAAAAAGTCAAATACGAAAGCTTCCTAAAGATATTTAATGAAAGATTTGAATATGAAAAGAAAAATCAATTGACTATAAAGTTCTTTGCAGACAGAAATCTATATGTTAATGCTTGACAGATTTTCAAAACAGTCTACGAAAAATGATTTCTAATGCGAGAATATCCAATTAACATCGGCATTTGCTTTCTACCCCTTAATTAAATATAATATTCTCGGTCAAAAGATTTTTAACATCTAGCTTCCTATCGATATCTGCTGAAGATTATTCTAAACTTCCTGAGACATTAAAAAGTAAGATGCTAAGTAAGCTTCTGTTCTAAATAAGATGTATGAAAATCTGAGCTATCAGTGTAAAAGCTCCGTTAATCTTAGATATTTCATGCAAAATTACAGGCTACCAGATTTTGAGACAAAGATCCAGGCTTTCATACACAATTTTGCTCTTTAATTTCATTAACATTTATGAGCTCCTCTGCAGTCAGATATAACAGCTACTTTGAGAAACTGCAGATGGTTTGTTCTGTTACTTTTCCAGATATATATATACATATACTCAGTTTCCTCTTCCATCCTTAAATTTAGGTAAACAGTTTATAAAGAGGCTGTATATACTTGATTAGAAAGTCTCTCTGAGCTTTTATAATAATTCCTGCTTGACGTATTCTTAAATCTCAAGGACAACTAAAACATAACATTTCCTCACTCTCACTTCAAGACTGAGCTCGTCAAATTTGTTATAAAGCGCGACCTGTGGAGAAGAGTTGGATGCAGTGTGGTTACTGCCAAAACCTCTTGCAACGTTCTGTGAACACTTGACGAGTATCCAATATTAGAATCTGAGTACCAAAACAGGAAGTAGTACAAAGCATAAGGATACGATTAAGGAGAATAAAAAAACTATGCGGGTGGAAAGTGACTTTCAATTTTGAATTGCATCCAAGAAAAGTGTAGGGCGAAAATCCAAAATGATGCATCTGTCTAGCTTTATTCAGAAGGAGGGAAACGCGAAATAAAAACAAAATCTCATCCCCACCTTCGATGCTAGAAATAGAATGGATTTCCGTCAAATATGTGACCCATTTATAGGCTGGTACGAACACCAGCAGCAGTGTTGCTCCCACTTCTACTAGACATAGCGAACACCCACTTCTTGGCCTGTAGCTGTCAGGAAATTCAATTCTACCAAAGTCGTTTCCATCGCATGTCATTATGGTTTATTCTTCTTATTACACTGATTATGAAATAAGACGTAAGTATAGTTTTCCGTATACTAATTTATACTAATTTGGTTACATAATATAGCCTGGTAATTTCTTTAAGGTAAAATTCAAATGTCGTTACACTGGATATTTATTTGATAAATCTGAATAGCGCTCTAAAACTTAGACAAACTATTTAATATTTTTAAGAAGCTAAATGTCTGTGTACTTTGCCTCACTATAAATTAAGACCATATTAATATGAATAAGATGTTAAATTTCTTAAATTTTGAAATTTAGTAATATTTTGTAATACTAGTAACATTATGAAGAACATTTGAATTTTTTTCCAAATATAACTGCTTTAAGCCGTACAAGTAAAAACTTTAATACATAAAGCACATAGAATTTTAATTTATAAAAGTATTTTCATTGAAGTGAAGAAAAGAATATATATGCTACAAATGCAAAATTTTGCTTACGTGGAATATTTGACATGAGATTCTTAAAATTTGCAAGAGCGAAGTTCATTCGGCACACTTTTGAAGTTTCATTGTTTAAAAACGTAAGTTATGTACAGAAGTGTATTCATCTGTTTTGACTTTCCCAATTAACTGTTGTTTTTAAACTTGCTCTCAATGCCATTTTGATTTAGGCCATTGTCATTAATATATCAACAATCAAATTATTAATTTTATAGGTTTGCTTAGAAGATGAATTTACAAAACAAGTCATACTTAATAATCAAGATGAAACTATACATAATTAATCTTGTAATTAAGAGTGTGTTACTATAAAAACTTTTGTATTAACTTGTTTTGCCGAGTAAGTTAAGGAAGCACCAACCGGCCTGTGTAGAAGAATATTTTTGAAAATATTCTCATTAACCTCTTAATGCACTTAACAGAGTTACCTAAAGTATAAAGAAATAAATTATTTATGGGCACCAGAGTCAGGGTGCTCAAAATATATTTTTTTTTTCAGTTGGTTACAGTTTTGGATTAAAAAAGAAAAATGTTAAAGAGGTTGAGTAAAATAAAAGAATAAAATAAAAATTGGTGGAAAAAAGGGCCATTTTTCTGAATGTTTAATTTATCCATTAGGGGGTCAATGCAAAATTTTCTTTCTTATTTTCATAGTTCATTGTTCTATGAAATTTTAACTTATGTTTATTATTCTATGAAACGTCTTTTGTAAAATAACAAGCATTTTTTTTTTTTTTTTTGTTTTGTTTTTTTCCTTAAAACAGATGAACTGTTTCATTAAATTTATTTTTATTTCTCATTAGTAATTACATATTTATTGCATAAGTATTCTTAAAATTGTCAAATACGATCAATGTTTGTTAAATTAAATTGTAAAGAAGGCACTTAACACAGATCAACACATAACAGACCGTCAACCTGTTAAATAGTTACATATACAGTACTCTCTTTTGAAAGGAATGTTGTTGCAGTACTTTTATATAAAAAAAAATTAAGCAACTTTCCTGAATTTTTAAAATATAAAATCATTTTCTAATGTTCAGCGTAAAGATCTATAGAAAATTTTTATATGTTTTTTAATGTAGGATGCAGTAGAATTCATAGCTTATTAATAAAATCATATCATAAACAAACAGCTTGTTCTTACTTAATATTCTGTATAATAACAAGAATTCCATATGTGTTAATATATCCTCAGTCAAATAACAATACTGCTGGACAGCCCTTTCTTAATAAGCTATTTGGGAAATATTCATTACCGTGAAATATCATCAAGTGTGTGGTGATGGTAGCTTTCATTCAGTCCTATACAATTCAGTATTGTGGCCCAACGTGTCAAAACATTTCTTGCTTGAGGTAACCCCATGAGATAAAATCAGCCCATGTTAGATCGAGAGTACTAAGAGAAGACTTTTGATACTCTAAATTTCTGTAAATTTTTCCCCAATCCAATTAAAATTAATAAATTAATTCATAATCAGAATAATATGAATTAGGTGCTAATTTTTAAACCTTAAATTAAGTAATGTTTGAAATATTAGTGAAATAAGGGAGAAACTTGGCCTATTTTATCAAATATAACTGAGCGGATTGAGCCCATAACCAGAAATTAATCTCTGCGGAAATGTATGTTACAAGAAATCAACGCATATTTTTGTTGCATAAACGGCAATCCCTTCCTATTAGAACAACATAAATGGTCCGTAATCGCATTCAACATCCACAAATGGAGGAAGAAAGAAACCTTACAGTATCCTTTTTAACGTTTATTGGTGAAAGTTACAACCACACACTGCACGGATCCAACTGCTAAGTGTTAACTGCTGGACGCGTAAAGACAATCAAATGGCTTATCATTTAGTCATAGTCTCTGAGTAAACTATCGCCAACCTAGAAAAAGGTTTAATTTTTTTCCCCAATGGCGGGGCCTCAGCCGACTTCGGCTTGGCCAATACTAAGGCCAGAAGTGGTAGTCACTTTATTATGGAGGTACTTAATTCGTGGGCCACCTTTGCCTCCTATGAATGGACGGACAGTTACAGCAATGAATTCTCCTTGATTCGAACCCGAGGCCTTTGGTATCGTAGTCGGCTCGTCTAACTACTATACCGTGTGGACAGCAAAAGGCTTAAAATAAACATTTCTATTTATATGTCAGTTTAAGGTTTACACCCTTGTGAAATTCATTTAACAATTAAGTGAAATTCAAATATCAAATTGCAAGTCAAACCACGTCTACAAACTTTAGGTTAAACAAACACTGATAAATGACCATCTTTATAAGTACTGTCTGGCATCAGTAATAAATAAAGCCGGCTATTCGCCTACAGTATGATTTTATTAATTTTCTATGAATTTTGTAGCATTCTATGTGTTCATCCAGGCTTTCAGTTTCAATGATATTTAGTGTAAGATTCAGATTTCAATAATTTTTATGAATTTATATCAGGCTCTTTAAGAAATTAAATTGACCTGAATAAGACCTTTATGCAGTATATGAAGCAATGAATTAATGCATCTCTCTCTGCGCAGGTTCGCCATTAATCTCCAGAGGGGTGCTGACCCGGAGCACGCCGACTTACACCTTCACCTCTGTGCCCATTTGGGAGGAACTCCCGTGGTGGTACGGAACTCGAGACTACGGGGGGATTGGGGCGTGGAGGAGCGGCTCGATGGACCGTTTCCGTTCCCCGTCGCCCCTCGGACATTCCTACTCGTCATCACTGCCTACATGGACAGCTACGAGGTACGTGTTTAGCATCTTTGTGACTCCTTTTTTACAATACATACGAGTTTCAATACATACGTACATAATTCCTTTATGTCCCAGAAAGATGCTTATTTAGTAGAACCTCTGAATATTTCATCAAATCCCCGTTTTTATATACTACAGCAAAGACCACAGATTACCGTGAATTAAATTGTATTTAATTCACGGTATTTGTTGGCAAATGCATATTTTATCTAATTTAATCATTGAAATTACAAAGAAGAGTAAAACGTTTTCGTGCTTTTTGCCATAAAACATTTTAGATCTGTCCCTCTGCCTTCTGCTTGCACATGGTGAGAGCTGGTACTTCTGTGGTCATGTGACCAAAATTTGATCTTGATAATTTCACTTTTCTATTTACTCAAAAAAAAAAAAAAAAAAAAAAAAAAAAAAAAAAAAACATAGGACAGAGATCAGATTTCTCTGATCGGCAAGCTAGAGGCTTTCAACATAAGTTCTGTGCCATGTTATGCTTGTCATGCGTGTATGAGTAAATCAAGATTTTGAAAGGGATGATCAAGCGGATGCACAACGAGAGAACTGAATGTCCATCAGTCTCAGCGACTGACGAGAAGAAAGTTAAGGAAAGTCGATACATTGTACTTTCAGAGTGGCATGTTGGCATAGATGAAGTAAATTGGTCATGGTTCTGCCTATCAAATCATTAACGAAAAGTTGCGCTTCCATACCATCCTGTGAAATTGCTGCCATGAACAAGTGTGCTGCGAGAGTTTAACTCAAAAAACCGTTAACAGAGTAACCATTTATTAGATTCTGAGGTACTGTAACACGCTGTCTACAACCTAGAACTCGTCCATTCCCGGATTATCAAATCTCTGCTGTTCTCAAATATGCTTTAAGAGATTACTGGTTTTTTTCAGCTAAAGAAATGTGAGAAGCGTTGCATAAATTTTTGGATGACCAACCGAAACCAAACTGCAGCGAATGCTTAAATTTGTGGGCAGCTGAAGCAAGTGAATTGTGAAGGAAAGAAGTTGTGAAAAAAAATGGTATTGTTGTCCAACCCCTAAAAAGAAAAGAAAAAAAAAAAAAAAAAAAAAATGTGCAAATAAATCGGAAAAATGGGAGGGCGGATAATTTGTAACTTTCTGTCAAAAAAGAGCATAAAGAAATTGATGTTTTATAAATTACGGATTTTCAAACATTTGGTTTACGCTTTATTTATTTTTCTTTTCGTATCTAGGTCGAGATTAATGGATCTTCCAACTTCTCGTTCAAAGTACGAGATGGATTGCCGATATCTTCCGTCACCCACCTGGCGATCGAGGCTGGGCTCTTCATTCGGGCGATACACGCACCAGTGGAGAGTATGGTGAGTTTAAAAGCAAGGTTCTTAATTCTGCACCTTTATTTTATATCTTTCAGACATAATTACTAAAACATATATGGTAATCTAATCTATATTTTTACGTGACTTTTGGGTATCACTGTAACTAACATTGCTGCCTCATCGAGTCGGTTTACTAGTAACATTTACATTGAAGTTCTGGACGCACTTTTCATTACTGTAAACCGTACCAACATTTTTTAATATTTTGAATATGCTTGAACTTTGTACTATTCCTTCAGGATAAATCTGTTGAGTGTTGCGTTTAAATCATTTTTAAGACAAAGAGAAATACTAATAACATAAAAGTTCTCATATTAACTTAAATAGCATCACTTATTTGCAGACTAAAGACAAATTTCTCGCTTAAACAGTACTGCCATTAATGAAGAATAAGGTAAGTGTCTTCTATGGTACTTAATTTTCTCCTCGATGAAAGTTCGCGAATGCGACTTTTTAGATTAAACACTGTAAAATCCGTAAGTAGACGTATTAGTCGCAAATTATGTAGGGAGAAATAATACCTCTTTATGAAACATGTCGTACAGAACGATCGTTATATAGTATCCTCACTTTGCCTTTGTCTAATATTCTCGATGCGATAGTATAACAATAAATCTTACCATTATTCCCGAGCCAAAGTATGTTGGACACGTCTATCAGAAAAGGAATTCTTTCATTAGTGCTAAAAGGTACCTTAAGAAAGAAAATGGGTTGATTTTTCAATTATATGAAAATGACTGCAAAAATGGTTATCAAGAAAGATGTCATTAGCAGACAATTTCGTTTGAACTTACGGGCGAACTGGATAGAAATATTTGACACATGAAAGGATCTCAGAATTGTACAAAAGTATGGACATGTATGATTCTATAAGGCAGCCTTGTCAGCAAATAAAGTTATGTTTGAAATCTATTCATTTTGTAAATTTATGAGATTCAATTTTTGAAATCGTAAGCAATCTTAAGCACGAGAATAAAATGGTAAATTAAGCTTTTACCCTGAGTTATTACACACTGAAGAACAAAAACTTTAAAATTGCTTGCTTTCTAGGATATCAGCCTCTCTGTGGCGGAAAAGTAGTTCTTACTCAGTGAAGATGAGTTTAGAAATTCTCTAGCTTTGTCTAATGGTATATGGCATCAATGCATTAGATTTGCTAATTTTTTTCAATGCTCGAAACACCAGAAACCAGATTTCTGTTTCAAAACTTCAAATTACATTCAGTGAGATTCGAGATAAGAAAAATTGAAGGTGAGGGTAATACTTGGCACTCATTCTTGTTGCACGAATCCCTGATGCCAATATTTTATCAGGATAACGAGATATAAGTAATGGCCATCCTTTGAATTCCTTAAATAACAGAATACGAGGATCATTTATACTAAGCAACTCTGTTTTGATTTTTAATTGCCCACTTTAATAGGTTTTGAGAATGAACTGAAAATAGCAGTGACCCTATTTTCAAAATGGATTTGATATCTACTACATATTGTGCAGCTTATGTTAACGTTACATAGCGACCCTTTTGTTAATTTGAACTAATGAAATAGAAACGTATTTTATTTATTATTTTCAGCTTTAAGCATGCATAGGAAAAATCAAAGTTGAGATTTTTTCAAGTCATATTTCAGTTTATTTTAGTTAATTATTTGACCTTTATTTTTTCTTTGTTTTTCAGCCGAGGAAATTACGTCTAAGCTTGGGAAGTGGAGTGAAAGTGGGCGATATGTTTTCTATCAAAGGGGAGCCCACAGAAGACGCTAAAAGGTACACATGTTCATTCTACTGGACAGTTTTATTTGCTAACTTTTATTTACCGTATATACCCGCGTATAATTCGAGATATTTTGGGAAAAAAAAAAGACTTCAAAGTGCGGGGGTCGACTTATACGCGGGGCCATAAAAAATTAAAAGAATCGGAAGTTCAAAATTTCTTATATAATGCAGTTGTTTTCTTCCCACACTCAAATTGGACGACTTATAAAATAAGTAATTTACTTGAAGTAATTCATGACTTAAATTATGTGACGAACTAATCACAGAGTTTCATATTTAACTAGAGTAAGTTTCGATTAAACCAAAGAATTTTCAGCCCCCGAACAACCGATCAATATTGAGCAATAAAAAAGTTTCGCCAACCGCCAGAAAAAGAGAAATGCAGATAGTTTTTACGTACGTATAAGTCTTTATAATAGTTATTGTTCATTCATGAAATACTTTTGTTAACAGGCGTACACGTGAAAATTTAAAAAAATAGCCCACGCAATAACTGAACAGTTTTGAATATTTCTTTTAACTTTTAAACGACTGGGAAAATGCCGTAATTTCCGGGAGGATTGCAACATCCGTCAGATTCAATCCCTAGATGTCTGCCTCAATAAAGCCCTTCAAAGTAAATGTTAGAAAATATTGGGACAGAGTGGATTAGTTCCTGGTCGACCAACATTTACAAAGGGAGGCAACATTAAAAAGCCCGATATTACATTAATTGCTCAGTGGGTTAAAGATGCTTGGAAATGACGAAATACCTTCTGAAATGATTATAAAATCATTTAAAAAATGTATTAGCAACGAACTAAACGGCACAGATGATAATGCTGCTTTTGAAAGTGAAAATGATGACGAAGGCTCTAGTAGTGATTGTAACAATGCAGAGTTCGAGACTGAAAATATGTATGATGACGAGCCAATGATGACAAAAGAGTTCTATGAAATGTTTGACGAATCTGACCATGAATCAGACGTTGAGGATTTCGATTTTGTTTATTTACCAGGTTTTTTTTTATCGTATATTTACTACTTTTTTTTCTCAGATGATTTTGAATAAATGTAGTACTTAAAAAAAATTTCGAAGTTTCTCGATCGATTTCGGAAGTGGGGGGTCGACTTATACGCGGGTTTCTTATTTTCTACGAATTTTTTATGTCGAAGTGGGGGGTCGACTTATACGCGGGTATATACGGTAACTGATTGTTTTGCTACATTTTGAATGATATTATACAATATATTGCTTGGAAATGTAATAGTTTGGATTACTTAATAAAATGAAGTTATACTGAAGATAACTAGCATGAATTCCTATACATGAAGACGGAATGAAATTAGCATTTGCATATTTTTATTGAGGTTTATACATAGTGAGAATGATTGGAAGCGAGACTAAAGCCATATAAAAATAATGAATTATTCCAGTAACTTACTAATCTGAACTGAAAGGAAATTCCTTTGATGTATATGCATTAATTTATATATTCCTTTAATGTAGGAGTGAACAAATACTTTTACCCGTGGGCCAAAGTGTCCTTTTCGTAAGGCATCATGTGTGCAGAGCTCTGATTATCTTTTGTGGAGCCCTGTTGTTTGCAGGATGCATAGAAGGAGAAGAAAACAATTCTCACCAGTATAATTTTAAACAAAAAAGTAACAATTACAAATAAAATAATTGCAGTTTTTAAAAATAGTTATAAGTACTTCGAAACCGGGATATTTTTCCATTGGTCATAAAAGGATTTAAATCTAAACTGTTTCATTTACAAATAAAAATTTTGAGGTGACATGTTCTAAGCTTCATTTTCTTATCTGCCTTTTTATCTGAACAATGTTCAAATGTCATTATTTAATTTCCAAATTAAAGCTGCTAGAAATGACAGAGATATATTCTTCAGCGGATCTGCATGCTGTCTTAACGCATCTAGTGTTTCAACTTAAGTTGATCGCTATAGTCATGCGTATATATCAGCATGCAATTTGTAATAATGGATGCACACTCGTGCTGCTGATTTCAGTAGTTTGCGTACAAACTCAGTATGAAAAAGATATGTTTTTACGCCAAATTTCCGAACGGGACGGATTAAGAAATTAGAAAGGCCATATTCTGCCGGCGGGCTGACTTTTGCCTACCCCTGCTCTACTCAATAAATTGATTTCTGTTATTCATGTAAAGGAATATTATTTGAACCTTTTGTCAGATTTTACAGTTACTGTGAACAGATTACTAAAGCAACAATTTTTAACGCCGCTTTCTGATAAGAAATTCTAAATTGTCACATGGATGTAGGTTTGGCATATAAACATGCAGTAACAAAATATAATTATGTTTTCGGCTGTCTGAAAAGTATTCGTTTATTGGGAGTCATATCAGCAATCCTTTCTAATGAAAGGGTTTAGGAATATAGGTTTCTTTCAAAAGCAGCAATTATACATTTAACCTGGTAAAATGCAACATATGCCCAGTTTTCACACTCTGTAATGCTAATTTTTAAAACAAACATAACAAGATGTGTTCTTAAAGAATCATTTGCTTCCAATTCTTGATCAATTGCAATGCTACCTTTCACATAATATTAAACTTGTTTTCAAATTTCCCTTAATATGGGAATTTTTGGAAAGATATCTCTTTATCTCACTAAGCTTAAAGTTTTTCTGTTACGCAGTTTCGTCGTCAACTGGCAGACTGGACCTGGAAAGTTCGACGATGTTCTCTTCCTGTTGAATCCTCAGCTGGAAGAGGACCGCGTCGTTATGAATTGTAGACTGGACGATGAGTGGGCCAAGGAAGAAACATCTTCAGATTGCCCCTTCAGCCCTGGTAAGCCTTTTCATCTGGCAGTGGGCGTATCCTCCCTTGGGTTTGACACTCTACTAGATGGAAAAGAGTGGTTGAATTTTAGACACAAGCACGAAGTAAGCAATGCGAAAACTTTATTCATTGAAGGAGATCTGCAACCAACAGATATCTGGATAGATTGTGCCCAGGTTAGTTCTACACTCAGAGTAATACCATTATATGATGAGATGAGTTTATTTAAATTCCGAGTCTTTTAATTTCCAAATGTGAATTTTATTTAAAAATTGTTCTAAATATGTTTGCATCACAGTAAATCAAAAGATTATATCTAATCCTAAACAATTAAAAACGTAATTAAATTTAATTTTGTTGTGAAACTACTAACAAATAAGTTAATTTTAAGCATTCTATCGGGGCGGAAGAAGTTAAGTGGCGATATATTTAGAAATTAATACAAAATGTGTTTCATATCTCACTTATTTGGCTCATTTTCCTAAACTCCTTCTAAATTTATGGTATAAGTGACTTAATGTAAAGTACAATTCTAAATATGAATAATAATGAAGCTTCAAAAGCGGCTTCTTTTTAAAAAAATAAAATACAGTGCTTTATAAAGTCAGATATTCGTAATGAAATATGAAAATACTAACTATTTAACTATAAACTAATAACATTTATATTTTAATCAAACTTTTTTTTAGAACCGAATATGCAGATACCATACAAAGAACCATTTTGCCAATAAGACAAGCAGAGGGAAACAATATCACCATCGCGTGAAACATTGAACGGCTGCAAATTACTCTGCTACTTTTATTAATATTTTACATTAGTAGTTATGAACACTATGCTTTCTGTGGTTTTAAATATAAGCATGTGTTAAGCTTTGGAGCTTTCAGAAAACTTGCGGAAAATACTAAACAAAAATAAAAAAACTGACATCGTTTTACTAGTTTATTTATTCTCAACTAGCATTTTGTTATGAGTTCCAGTAATAGCATATGACAACGCAAAACTTTCATTAGCTTCATAAATCTGGACATAAGAATTCTTAATAAAGCACTCATTCAATAAAGGATTTTCAGTAACTAATGAAATGTATTGTAATATTATTATTGGAGATTCGTCTCGCTGCTGACGTAATTAGGTAAACAAATTCGTTATGAAGCAGTAAGTACGTTAATGGAGACAGTATGGGATACATGTAATTGGCCATCTTCAGCAAACATAAAGTGTCAAGTTACTAGTTTCTCACAGGAAGTATGTAGATACATCTAGCACTTGTAAAATATTACATTGAGAGTCTTTTAAAATAAGACCTGCCACAGCTGCGTTTGCTAAACTTGTAATACCATGCCGGCAATAATACTCGATAACTCAAAACATCCTATGACGGAATGTGCTAAAATTTATTAATATATGTTTAAATAAAGATTATTTGAAATACTTGTTTTCCCTCCTCCAAACACTTTGTTTAGCAAGCGTTGGAAAAGGAAGAACCGATCGATCATTTTGCCGTCTCATTGCCGAAAATGTTACTTAAGGTGCACTATAGGGAGCAACCAATGTTACGCCTACGAAAAGGGAAAGTTCCGTCCTAACATTGGATACAGAAGACTCCGAGGAAAAGTTTCGGGGGTCTTCTACATCTTTTTCCCTTCCTCCAAGCTTCTCGAAAGGAGTTTGGGTTCTCCAGTATTTTAAATACCCTCACGTCGCACAGTTACTGTACACTTAGAATCCTCTTCAGGGATCAAACTCGACTCCAGCGAAACAGCAGTCACTAACGTTAACCACTATATGTTTCAAGGTGGCACTTAGAATCGACAGGATAAGAAGAAATGAGCGGGACTTTAGAACTTCACCGATAGTAGAAACACTTGTAAAAAATTTTCGTATAGTTAAAATATGTATAGGTCTTTTATCTATTTATTAGGTAATATTTGCCTTACTTTTAATAACGAAATACTGAAAAAAAAGATGGAAGCTTCATTTTACTGCTTTACAATATTTAAATGCGTTTAGTAAAAGAAAACAAATTTTTTAAAGCATTCATGATTTGTTAAGATTATTATCTCTATTTTACAGCTTAATGCTTCGGGAATTGTAAATGGTGTCATTAAAAGAGGAGTGCGTCTGCAGCTTATATGCCCGGTAAGTATCCTTTCTCTTTTCTTAGATTCCTTTACTTAAATTATCTTTCAGTTCATTTTTGTTTTAATCGCTATCAATTAAAAAAGTACATAAAAGAAAGCAGTATACATGTTTTCGAATTTCTGTAATTATTTACCTAATTTGAGGAAAGTTGCAGTGTGCATGCATATCTTGCAGAAACTAGTAATGAATGGTATATCACTTTGGTTACCTTTGTAAGTCAATCGAAGATGTTAATTTTTTACAAGCTATGCATATACACAGCTCACTTTCTCCATATAAATGAATGACCATGCAGATTCAAAAAGTGCATATTTCCTATTAAACGCAACTCAGTCGGATATTCATATCAGAATATGAATGAAAGCATACTTATAAAAATGTACTGAAAGGATTTGAACAAGTATTTATTTCCTTTGGGTATTCTAAACATCCTCCTTCTCTTCCTATCTATTTAAAATGCTGAATATAATATGAAGCAAGCTTTAACATTCATGAAATTCTTGATAAAATTATCCTTAGCATCGCGAATTGTATGACGAGAAAATGATAAAATATGTAATAGAAATAATGAAATATGTTTTCTTAAATTTTGGATACATTAACTCACATGAATGCTTAGAAATTAAATGAGAATTTAAGAAAATGATTTTCATTAATTTCAATGATTGTATCTCTATCATAGTACTTTTCTCACAAAGTTTAGGGTAAACGATAGGAAAATTATAATTACCGTACCAATTCTTATGTTAACCATATCTGAAAGTGAATAGGTATTTGAAAAAACATAAACCTATTTACTATACATCAATGACAGGTATGGCTCTTCGAGAACAATCAGTTACACAAAAACAAAAGTTGTCTGGGACCTGGGAGGTCTTCTTAGGATGGTTCGCTTTCCTGTTGTTTATTGTGCTCGTTTAATACGATTTCATGAAGAGCGCATTAATTGATACATAAATTAAGTTAAATGATTCTATTCCATTTTATGTTGATATCATGTTACAGAACATTTTACGATATTTGTATATGATTTATGCATTTATCATGTACATGTAGAGATTTCATCGTTATTTGCGATAAGTATAGAAATGTATCCCCGAATACAAAGACTTTACTGTATGCTTAAATGAAAACCTCTTAAAAGAACTATGTATAATCCAAATGGGCTACTTGTTTAAGAGTCAAAACGCACTCGCTGCGAGAAGACGTAGCATTCATAAACTAATTAACTTACTTGCTGAAAACTGATGCATTGCAATAGCCCTTATGACATACAAAGGCTATTTGAAGAAAAACAATTTCTAAACAAATGAAGCGAAAGTAGACTCGAAACAATAGCCATAGAAAACGTGAAACGGTGGCAGGATTTAATTTCATTAGTAACTGCACTTACGAGTAGGAATCTGGGAGTTCTAAATTAAGCTGCTTCTTTGGGGAGAGAATATTCGGCTTTGTAGAAGTTTACATTTGGAAAGGAGAGGAAAAAATGCGAGAAGAAATAATGTAAGGGAAAGAAGTGACATCATAAAAGAAAGAAATAAAAATAACGCAAACAGCCAAGTAACAGCAAAAAGATTGTAACAGAAACTTCTAGGAAATGAACTTACAGCTTTCTTACAAGCATGTCTGGCTAAAAGACAGGGAGAGAAAGAAAGAAGAACGGAAAAGAAAGTGGTAGGTGGTGAGAAAAAAAAAGTGTCCTACTTTTCATAGTGCACTTAAAAATAACGTTGCTTAATTGCCATGGTTGCGCATTGTTAAGTTTGATTCCGCATTGTTAATTGCAAGTTTGATTTTAATTAAAAGATGCAAAAGTTATGTTAAAATACCAAAAAAAAAAAAAAAATAATAATAATAATGCTTTTCTCTCTTGCAAAAGGCTCACCGCAGTGGCCAAGTAAATAAAACCGCTAAATATGGGTAGTTTGCTTTGGGTTCGAATCCAGGCAGTCGGCTGATTCGTATGTGCTTCTAACTAATGTGCTTATTGTCTAATAAGAAAAGAAGCTATTTATTTCAGAACCCCTTCCCCCTCAGTCCTCAGTTGACTAATCGAACTGAATCCTGCTTACCGTTTCGGTCTTTTCTATGGCTATTGTTTCGAGTCTACTTTTGCTTCACTTGTTTGGAAATGTTGCTGTTCACATAGCCTTTGTATATCATAACAGCTTTGTGCAGTGCATCAGTTTCAAGCACTTTGGCATGAAAGCTGTAAGTTAATTAGTTTACGAATGCTATATTTTCGCACAGATCGCTCTCCCTGAACTACGTTAAGTTTAATCATCAACAGTCAAACATAAGAACTCTATCTCTTATTTAGATAACATTCGCATGATTTGCTATAATGATTAAACAAGTGCAGAAAAGAAGTTATTCCTTTCCGATCAATTTAATTTTAAGGCCCGCAATAGAGGTACGTAATACGAATTCAGATTTTAATTACAAAGCTTGTTATTAACCAAAAGGCTGTACTTAGATTTCATGCTGCAAGTAAATTCTTGGATCGCATCATTTTTCATCCTGTTGGTTTTATTCTTTTTTGCATTTATTTTTAATGAATTTGCTTTACTACTATGCAACTATTTAAAAGCTCTGTTTTTCTATTTTAAAGTACAGAAGTTTAGCGTAATGGTCATAAATTAAACTTTTCAATACGGAAATGCAATGCAAGACATTTTGTGACGGGAGCAATCACGACAATTTTGTGTGTGGCATCGTTTCAAACATAGATGTTAGTGTCATATAAATCTCTGTAACAATCTGGCCTATTTCTATCCTTAAATCTCAATAATTTTAAATCCTTAATTACTTCTGAACTGAATTTTAAGGAACTGCTTGTTTGTCTTAGTTGCTTATAAGCTGTGACACAAGAGTTCCTACGCCGCAGAAATGCGATTTCTTCTGAATTTACCAAGGAGGGAGAAAAAAGAAAGAAAGAATAGCTTGGTCTATATTTAATTTTCCATTCTTAATTATCAAACGATAAGTTGTTTATATGGGCTGAAAAATAAATTCATGTATATATTTAACTAAGTTATCAAAGCAGATGCGAATAGGATCGAATTCAAATGCTCTTATTCTATTTCTTTATATTTACCTGTATACCACAGATGTTGCAGTACAATTTGTTTCTTGTTTATCTGGTCCAAAAATAAGACTCAACAATTCATTTTTTCATTAAAATTCAGTATGTAAAGTATTAAAATTATAAATTGGAAGCTAAAAGTTTTCTTGCTCAAAAATAAGAAATCATCTTCTATAAATAAGTAAATAGTAAGATGATAATGAAGTATTATTAAAAAAATTTAATTAATTTAAAAAAAAGATCGAACTTTTAAATTGCTTTCCAATGACCGCAGAGGGTGTGCTCTGGCCATCATGCATAATATTAGTAACATATCGCCTTTTACTGATTTTTGATCTATGCGTTCGTTGTCGAGTAACTACAGTTTGAGCCAGGCCGAGCATAGGCTGCTCGTCGGATAAGTTAAAAAGCAAAAATGAAGCAGCTTGACAAACAATGCATTTATAAAACGTTTTGCGCAAGATTGAGGGAATCTTTAACAGAAGTGCTTAATCAAGCGCATAAAAAGGACTGCAACAGCCAAACGTCGTATTGTGATTAATTCAATATTTTAATCGGGCTGTAGTTCGGTTGACGAAGATTCAAGGACTTCAATAAACGCCCGATGCGCTCAGAGTGCAGCAGACAGAAAACAAGGATGTCTACCAGAGAACAGTACTAAACACGATTGAGAAATGCTGTGTGTAGGAAGAGACCTAAATTGGGCGGGGGAGGGGGAATCAGTCCTGGATGTTGCATTATGACAATGCTGCACCTCACGCATCGTTCATTGTTACCAATAATCTGACAAAATGCAACACTCCGCTGTGCCCTAATCACCCTATTCTCTGAATTTGGCCACAGCAGATTTTTTTTTCTTTCCGAAACTTAATCTTTTGATGGTTATCAACGAGTTCAGCTCGCATTTCAGTTTCACACTGCAGTGGACGCAAATGAACACAGCTAGCATTACAAATTTGCGACTGAGAGATATCATACGTATTTAGGAAGGAAGAATTGCTTAATTTCGCTACCGCCAAAAGGTTAAAACCATTTTGAAAGGATGCCATTTCCAATCCGTAGAAAAAAATTCATCAAATCTGCAACACAGTATTACACGCCATGGAAAAAGTGATCTCTAATAGAGGTTCCAAAAGTGGAAGAAATAATGGCAATGGTGTGTTGACATTAGGACGTAGGCCTTTGAAGAGGGTAGTAATTGAAAGTTTGTATAATTAGCAATAAAGCAAAAAACAGCAAAAGTTCGATCTTCGTTTTTCGACGGGGTGGGGCGGGGAATAATCATCTTATTTATACACTCTTAGACAATAGAAACGACGCACCAAGAAGGAGTTATCCGAATGGGACGAAAATTGGTAGAAGTGCTGTACATGTACAGAAAAACAAATGATTACAGTTTGAGAAAAATTGGATGATTTATTGAAGTGATACAGCTTCACAAAGTGAAAACGTCAGTAACGCGTTTGTCCACCTCTGGCCCTTATGCAAGCAGTTATTCGGCTTGGACTCGATTAATAGAGGTTGCGGATGTCCTCCTGAGGGATATCGTGCCAAATTCTGTCCAACTGGCGCGTTAGATCGTCAACATCCCTAGCTGGTTGGAGGTTCCTGCCCATAATGCTCCAAATGTGCTCAATAGGAGAGAGATCCGGCGACCTTGCTGGACAAGGCAATGTTCAGCAAGCACTAAGGCAAGCAGTAGAAACATGTGCAGTGTAGAGGGGCGGACATTATCTTGCTAAAATGTAAGCCCAGGGTGGCGTGACATGAAGGACAGCACAACGGGCCTTAGAACTTCGTCGACGTACCGCTGTGCTGTAAGATTGCGATGAATGACAACCAAAGGGGTCCTACTATGAAATGAAAGGTCACCCAGACCATCACTCCTGGTTGTCGGAAAACAGTCAGGTTTATATCACACCGCTGTCCGTGGCGTCTCCAGACTCGCCTTCGCTGGTCATCGGGGCTCAGTTCAAAACGGAACTCATCACTGAAGACTATTTTATCCAGTCAGTGACATTCCAGTGCGAATGAGCACGACAAACGGGCTTGACGTTGTACAGAGGTCAATGGTAGTCGGCGCAAGGGGCGGCGTGACCTCAGCCCCTTTTCTGTGAGCCGTCTATGAATGGTCCTTGCGGTCACTGAAGCACTAGTAGCACGTACAATCGGTGATAAAGATCTGTCTGATCATCTGGGGCTGTAAGTGCTGCTCTGACGATTGCTCGGTCTTCACGTTCTGTCGTTTCTCTAGGCCTACCGCTTCCTTCTTGACGCTGTGTGCGGCATGGTTCACCCATTCCTGCCAACATCGTCTAATAGTGGCATCGCTTCTGCTCAAATGGTGAGCTATTTGCCGTAAGACCAACCGGCTTCTTTGAGCCCACTTCACGACCTCTCTCAAATTCTGACATCTGCGCATATTGTTCGCACACCTGTATGCGAGGCATAGTTACTGTCTACCAGAGTACACGGAATGAAATTCGTGGAGAATTTAAGACCTGGAATCGTAATTTCTCCTCTTAAATACCCTGCCAGTTGCGCAGATCAGATGCGCTGTAGCGATAACCATTCATTAATTGTACCAAATGTAAAATTGATATGCATACAGGTTTCGACGGAAATGCAAATTCAACCAAAATGTAAAATTTTGCATTTTCGTGAAACCGTATGCATATCAATTGTGTCCAATTAGTTTTATATCTTTCGGTGCGTCGTAGTTCATCTTTTTTTTTTTTTTTTTTTTTTTCTCTAAGAGTGTAGTGAAATTATATAGTGAATACGTTTTAAAATATTCAGATAGTAAATAATAATGTGTGAGCTTAAATAGTGAATAATATTAAAGCCAATTGTAAATATTTTTTAAATAGTCATTAAAACACCACAAAGGAAATGCAATGTTATAAACACGATTTAAAAAATTTAATATAATTCAAAAATTCATGTACGCATCAAAAAGTAATTATAACTAAAATTGAAAGGATAAATGTTTTAAATACAATTTGAAATTTTTAATATAATTTAAAACATCATGTATAAATCAAAAAGTAATTATTAACTGAAACGAGAATATAAAAACAAATGTAAAAAGTTGAAAATTAAAAGAGGACCACTGTGAAATTGCTTCAGGCAAAGTCTTTCTCTAGTTTGGTTTTCACTTTTATGTACATAAGCCCACAGGTCAAAATTTTAATTGACGATCCTAGGATTTTTTTTAAGTCGAAAAAGTTAATATTTTTTCTTTTGCATGAAATAATAGACTCGCTGAGTAGAAATTATAGACTAATGAGATAGAAAATAAAATATACAATTCTCACAGTTTAGTTTCTTTAAATTCTGATTCATATAATATTTTTCTTAATATAAGAGTATCTCTGATAATGAAACTGAGAAGAAATTTATCCTCAATATGCTATAAAAATGCAAATTATGAATTCAGGAGTGGAAAAAAAATTGTTTTAAGTGTAACTTTACCATCAACCTTTATACGAAGGAATGTAAGAAAAATCGTTAAGAAAGAACAAAAAAACACCTTGTAGCACTTAAAGAGTTACATAAGAGATCATAGGTCAATGAATCTGTTTGTTTTCCAGGAATTACCTTTAACTTCCCGGATAACAGGAGGATTTGAGAAAGGATGTCTTTTCCTTATCTCTGGAAGAATCAACACTCAACCTTTAAAGTATGTTTCCTTTTTTTATATACTATAGAAATAAATTTGGCACTTTCAGGAAAATAAATTTGTTTAACTTGAATGAGTTATTGCTGCTTGCAATACATAAGTAGCTGCTCTAGTTGCTAACTAAGATGGTTAGTTCCATTTTCATGTCATAGCGGTTTTTTAAACACTAAAATGCATCATAAGTAAGGCAAAAGTTTTCTATGTATATGTGCAAGATCAAAATTATGTGAATCAAAAATGTAAGTTAAATTAGTAATAGCCTTAATACCACTCTCTATTATAAAAATAGTAATAACTTTTCAGGGCTGCATCATTTCTAGATTAAATCCATTTTGCATGGCTTGTGTAACGCTGATGACGTAGCGTTTTCGGAGCCTGAGCTCTAAATTTCGAGAATTGAAATTTTTCTAACCAAAACCAAAGTCATCTGCTGGTGAGGCTCCATACTGGAAAACTGCGCACTTTTCGCTTCAGCTGTCTTGCAGTCAAGACGCTACTAGCAATCTTATTATATAGAGAGAAATAGGCATTTTTTTAATGCTTATGCTCACTTTGTGAAACCGGTTAACATGAAAAACTATTTTAAGATTCGAATGTAAATTATGCGAGTATTTTCCACTGTGGTTGGCAAGCGAAAACTCCTGACTTTTTATTTCATTTACCTTTTGCGTGAGAAAAAAAAAAAAACTTTTTGTATACACCTTTTTTCAAACAAATGCGTTAACTACATTAACGTTACATCACCTTCTCGTAAACTTCAGCAAACTCTATATTCTGAAGCCTTCAATGTATATTCTCTGAATTGTGACTTAATGCATAACTGGGGGCCGATCTCTAGAATCTTTAAACTAAGTCCCTGAGAGTCATAACCAAAGCTGAATAAAAGAGAAAACGATCCCAAACGAAAGGTACAATTTTAGTTTATACCAGAACGACAAATTAGAGAAAGATATTGACACAAATTTCAGGGCCTGAGACAATATTTACTCTTTGTATCAAATTAATAGTCTTACTTCATTACATCAAGCTTGTAACGCTCTAAGGTCATGTTATCAGTATTTATTTTAACATGAAGCTGCTTTTTGTAGGCTTTCATTTAAGGTGCTGCATAATCGCTTGCAATCAGAGTTGTAGAATGGTTAAAATATAAAATTAAGATAAAAATATTTACTAACTAATATAATTATAAACTAAAACGTTCAATAATATAAATTATAAATCTAATAAAATTATAATCGCAGCAATCGTTGTACTAAATAGATTATTGATGTTATATTATAATAGTTGTAATATACTAAAGAAGACTGGACGCTCAGAATTAGGTAAGATTTTAGATTCAGACTCTGTACTCTGATTCGACCAGTGTCGTACCAAAACACTGAATATAACAAAATAATAAATTCCAGTTCTCATTTATGGTGAAGATTAATATATGTAGAACTGATACCATGGTTGATTAAACACACTCCAACAGATTAATCACATACAGATTATGAATCCTCCGTTCTAGCTACTTTGCTTCTATATTGGTAAAAGCAGCAATGTTTTCTGTGTCTTATTCATAATAATAAATGCAATTTTCGTACTTTGCAATTTTATTTTTAGAATAAAGTAATACTCTGTTTTGCATTCAAAGGTTGCAGATGAATGTTCAGTGTGGAGAAGGATCTGAAGATTGTGATATCGCTTTGTGCTTCGATGTTCTGTGGAAGGACGACACTCCAAAAATTACTCTGAACTCTAGGGAAGAAAACTCTTGGGGACAGGAAGTGTCAGCTACAGTTGTCGAAGGTCTTGCTGCTGGTCGTCCTTTTGATCTCCTCGTCGCCCGGACGGAAGATCGCTTTCAGTGTTTTTTGGATGGACTTGAACTCGCTCACCTGCCATATCGTGTGGAAGACCCACTCCCGGATCATATAACACTCTCTGGGGATCTAGAGACATATAGGCTTTTGCTACTTTGATCTCCGTTCGAGCGATGACGATTATATTTGCTGTTTGGTGCTAAGATATCTGATCTTTCTCTCTATCTGTCGCTCTAACCATCTGAGAAAAATATGAATTTCTCTGTATTTCACAAACTGAAATATCAAAAGATACTCTGCTTATTAACTTACTATTTCTTCTGCATATATTTTTTTTTGGGGGGGGGAGACTTCATCTTTAAATCTTTAAAATCTCAGCGTATGTGAAAATGGAGCACATGCATTCTCCCTTTTGTGGATAGTATTTGAGCACCATTCAGCAGAATAATCCAGCTCACAAAAAGTTGTAAAAACTTTGTCTTACGTAGTGTTTGTAGTTGTTTTCCCTCAGCTTTTAGAGCTGTTCTTCTGGGTGTTTTGATTTTCTGATGTACAGAGTGCGTGTAAAATAATGCAATATTGAAAAATAAATAAATTTTTATTCACTTCTTTTATAAATTATTACTTTAAATTTTCGTGCATGACATCACTTCTGGAAGACCTAAATTGCTGGATTTTAACTTCAGGTCGAACTGTTCCCTCTTCTTGATGAAAGCAAACTTCGTTTGATTTCAGATTCGAAGCTTAACATAGTAATTTACATACATATAGCCATCGGTATTTAAAGGTGAATAAATAATATACATTTACAAGCACTAACTTTGTGCTATAACCACCAGTATATAGCCATTAGTATATAGCCATCAGTATATAACCAGTATATAAAGGGGAATAAATTATGTATATTTAGAAGCACTAACTTTGATCAGTTATTCTTTTTAAGACAGCAAAAGTAAATCTATTGTTGCGAGTTACATGTTCGTTCATACCTCTTTGCGTAATCCTTCCAGATAAGCAGGAAGAAATTAACAATTTATTATAAAAATTAAATACACGCAGCGCAATAAATAACTCGTAATCTCTCAAACAGAACGAGAAAAATAAGCAGTTTCTCCTTATCGTTAATTCTCAGAATCACTTGTAGAGTAAACTCTAAATCTCACAGCTGATTCATAACTGAACGCTAGCTCTCTGGTTTGTGTTTATGTACTTTAACATGTCAATTGTACTGCCAAATGTCACCAGTGTGGCAGACCTGCCCAAAAAAAATTTCTCCAAACCTCGATTTGCGTTTGAGCTATTTTTGCAATCGGAACGTTGTTGCACTCAGAAATCAAAGATCTACGATTCTGAGAATGAAATAAAACTAGAATACAAAACATGCACATTCATAAACATAAATTCGATTAAATACAAACCCTATAATGATCCTTATAAAAGCATCCAATCAATAAATAAGAAAACCAATGTACAACACTATAGCAAAACAGAAAAGCAATAATGCAATCAAAAGCATTTAAATATTTACAACACTATTATTGTTACTAATCAATGAAATGAGTTTATTGTTCACTATTATGATTACTGTGATATCAGATTGCGTATAATAATATTCAATTATCAACAGTTCTAACAATAAATAAAGTATTGAACAAAACATTACTAACATAGACATGATTAAAAGCAATTACAAACATCAAAATCTTAATTTTTTTTATTCCTTAAACAGTAATAAACTTAAACTGCTTGAATGCTTTTTATACATACGAAATTTCTACGTGAATTTAGTAATTTAGATATTATTTGAGTTAAGTAATATTATGCAAGTCTCAGGATACTGTTTGCTTCTATTTTTTTAATTTTCTTAATATTACATTGTTTCAAAGATTTTTTAATGTTAATTATTTTCAAATGTAATTATTGCAAAATTATTTCCCGGATATTTCATATTTCTTGCATGTGGCAATCAACGTTGAAAAAAAAACTGTTTGCATAAAAGATAATTTTTTTTGCTTTGAGGCATATATTATTGCTGAGAATTATACACTATTTTTATTGTAGTATTTAAACAACAGATTTTTTAGGTACTTATCAAACAATAGTTAATATTCCTTAATCGGGATGAGGGCCAAGCTTGGCGAGAGTTTTTTAATTTGGTTGTAGTTTCCGGCTGTATGTTTTCTTGTAACAAAACTAGAACTTTATTCCGGTAATTGTAAGAGTGCGAATTTAGTTTAGTCAGAAGATTTTTTTTTAAATTTAATTTTGAAATACTGTGTTGTTTTTAAAAGTTTTACTGTTTAATATTATTATACAAATATTTACAGAAGGTTAAGCTGCTGTTGGTGGGAGAATGTTGGAATTTAGATGACGTGAAGGTATGAATGTTTTTCATTTAATTTTATTTAGTTAATTATTATTTTTTTTTTTCGTTTTGTTTCTTGCATGTGGCAATCGAAATATGTGGAATATTTAAAGTTTTGAAGTTTTGAACGAAAGTTGTTTTAGTGTGTTGAATTCACGACGTTGTTTTATCATTTAAGCAATTTCATTTACTATTCTGTTTGCACATAATAATCGCCGTGCGCCAACTTATCCCGCTTATGGAATATTAGCCCAAATAATTCAAAAATACATTCTAAATGAACAAATTTATTTCATAGAATAAAAAATCACTTACTTCAAATTTTATTGAAGAAATGCAGTCTATAAAAACTAAAATTGTAACTATATAAGGTATTTTCTCCCTCGTTTCTGCATACGTTCGTGGTGTAACGGCAGCACAATCGGCGCGTATTCGAGAAGTCCATGTTCGAGTGCCAGCGAGGGCATTGCATATATTTCATGTCTCCTTAATCAAAATTCTAATGACTCTGCAACCAATTTCAGAACGTCAGTCACTCTTGAGATGGAAGAATAAAAATGATAAACATTATCTGTGTGAGTTTCTAAAAAACCAGAATGGTCATTAACACTGAAGTGTAAGATGGAAAACATTAGCTGTATTGTTGGTATTGTTGTGACTTATCTCACTTGTCTTACAGTAGCATTAGAACAAGCCCGCGAAATCCATCGTGGCAAAGAGTGCAAGATTGTGCCTGTCGTTGCAAGAGCCTTGAGCATCATACAGAAGTCAGACAGGACGACTTTGCTCAGCTCCGCCCTCAGTTTTGATGGAGAGCACCCCGGGGGGGGACAGCTCCAAGGGTCTCTCCCCCCTCTTTCCCTACCATCAAGCTCTCAAGAAGACTTTCGTCTCGCCTCACATTTGGAGTGCCTTCCATGCCGCACAGACACTATACATTTACAAACGTCCATGCCTTCTCCGGCATTCGAAGCCGAGTCCTTCGGGACGACAATAGGCGTTTTTAACCACTATCCAAGTTAGGCGGCAGCTGTACTATAAAAAAAAAATTGGCTCCGAAAACCAAGGAATTAATCTCCAAACCAAGGACTGAAACCAAGAAAATTAAACTGTCATAAGAATTCGACATTTCTTTATGTTTAATAAAAAAATTCTGTTAAGTACAAAATCCCGCCATCTAAGAATTGACTAAAAATTTACATTCGAAAATAGGATTCGGTTATTCAGTTATAATATTAAAACGACTTGTTTGGTTGCTTACCCATCGCAGAAAAGAAACTTCAAAATTTTCTTCATTTATTTGTGACTTAGAACTGTGGTAAAATGTGAATAAATCGCACTAAAACGTGTTTCAAAATTGCCACGATTTTCTTATTTTCTTCTTTTCTCTTAAAATATAATCACTCAACTGGGATGTGCAGTGAGATTAATATATTTCAACTGTAAAATGCTACTTAATATATGAAAAAATATGAAAAAATTATAGTAAAAAAATTAAGTATATGAAAAAAATTTTTATAGTAAAAATATATAGAAAATAATTATTAAATTTAGTATTATATTATTTATTTATTATATATAATTTTATGATTTTTTTATTATTATATTATTTTATATTATATTATTTTCTATACAATTAGAAATTAGAAATTATATAGAAATAATATATATTCTATATAATTAGAAATTATATAGAAATATATAGAAAATTTTTTTAGTAAATATAAATTTTAAAGTAATTTTTTAATAATCCAGTCACAAAAACAAAACATTTCAGTGAAGCACCAAAAAACAATTATTTATCATATCAGCTCTCAATTATTTCTTGTTCATCTAATCACAAATCTGGGTAAACACCATTCATTTACCCAGAATCATAAGAGATTTATATTTTTTATCCAACGAGGGTGACAATTTTTTTCAGATATTTCCTTCTTGAAGACCGCCACAAATTTGATAGATAAAAATAATAATTTTTAATGAAAAATCATATTTTTTCCAAAATGAAATTTCTCCTTGGAATGTTCATAAAAGAATAATATTTTTATCACTCCCATAAAATTATGAATGTCTTATTAATGAAAAATGAAATTATGAATAAAACATATATCAGGAATTACCAAATTGAGGCAATGACAAGCACAATCTATATACAGTGCTGACTGAAATCTTTCTCTCACTTTAGCTGGTCTTCCCTTGAACCGTTATAACCTTGACCTATCATGCATTTCACATCTAAGCCTGCTGATGAAAAATTATCTATAATGGCATCAGCGAAATCTCAACGTGTCGGCTACAGGTGCTAATCGAATCACTACAAGTGCGAATCGTAAAAAATTAAAAAATAAAAATCTTGAAAAGAAATTTTTTTTAACAACAGCAGTCAAGAGATAATTATAATTTACTCATTTAACTTAATGACATATGCAATCAAATCTAGAAACACGATAGTAAAATTATTCTTTCTGTGTGGAACGATAAATTACTCTTAGGTATTTTAACTTATTCATGAATAGTTCATGAACAGTCATTTTTCATAACACAAAAATTAAACATCACAGTTTAATTTTCAAATAAAATGGTTGATTTAAATTTCACCTCTGCTACTACAGCAATATATGTAAATTGGATAAACAGTCAGCTGAAGTTTTATAGCAAATTTGCTTGCATATATATTTCTTAGTAGATTATTTTTTAACCAAAGATGCAAATTAAAATTACATACCACCTACAATAATGATACATTTATGCTATGACATATACTACTAGTATAAAACAAAAGAATTAAGTAAAGTATGACTTCATATGCTAATGATTCTCAAGTTTGGTGCAATTGAGCATGGCTACACATCCTACAGTTGAGCTGCAAACATAAACTAATATATAATCCAAAGGCAGCCTTAAAAACTATTACGTAGTTGATCACTTTACAGATACAATCTGATTACAGTATGTAATCAGAACAAATATCAAGTTGATACTTATTTACACAACTCACAAACTTCGGTAAAGGACTTATCATTTGCCTGAGGAATGCAACAAATTTGAAATGATTTATTGTCGAAATACTTCTGCAAATTTTATGTCGCCACACTTCTGCAATATTTTATGCAGAAACATATTTTCAAAATCTGTGCGTTGGCCCTCTAACTATCCCCAGGATATCCTTCATCAAAATAGAGATTTAGCTTGTAGATTCATACTGTCATCTGTAAGGGACCCAAGCTCTTGGGCAAAGATAGAT